GATAATGGGAAGAGTAAGTAAAATATTATGTGCACAATTATTGGCTTTCTGTAGGTATTCAGTAACTGCTGGTGATTACTAATGACAATATTGAAGGAATTATAGGACTTTTGTATACTCTATTTTTTTCTCTGATGTTACACATAATAGGCATTATTAGCCTCGTCAGCACTTGCTGTACCATTGATGAAAAAGAGGACAAAATTGCATTTTTCTTTGTTGCATAAAAGCCCAGTCTTTTTAAATACATGCTTGTATTTTATGTTTTTGTTTTACATTGTTTTTTCAACTCATCATTTGGTGATAAAAGCCTCTATATTATCTATTCTGTATCTGCAACGTAGGCTTCACTACTGTACTAGTCTTCTATTGTTGCTTGTTATGACAGATTACTGCAAATTTAGAGCCTTCAACAACACAGGTATGTTACCTCACAAGTCTGTAGGTTGGAAGTCTGAGCATGGTATAGCTGGGTTCTCTGCTCAGCAGGATGAAATGAAGGTATTGGCAAGCGCTATGAATGCATTTAAGACTTGTGGTCTTTGTCCGAGGTGGCTGGTTGTTGGCAGAATTTAGTTCAATCTGGCTGTAGGAGGCAGGTCACTGATTTCTTGCTGGCTACAAGCTGGTAAGTGGGGTGTGACAGTCTCACTTTCCTAGACACTGCTTGCCATCCTCTGTATTTGTCTCTACGACGTGGCAGTTTGCTTCTTCAATGCCGTGGGGAGAATTTCTGTGTTACGTTCTCATTCACAACACAGGTCAAAGTGAAGTAGCAGTGTTACAAACCATGGACAGGGATGAGGGTGAGGGTACTGCGTGGAATCCTACTTCATGCAATTATTGAATGACCCGCGCCTCTTCCCTCTATGTCTCCATGGCTGTACCATCTTCTGAGCTCCCCGCATCCCCTTAACTCAGCCAATAGCTAAGCAGTGAGCCTCAGACTAGATCTGGATGGTCATATACAGGATGATTTTACATTAAGGCAAAGTGGGTAGACCGCTTTTTCCTTCTTCTAGCAAGTCATTCTCAACATTCCCTTGCCATGAAATCTAGAAAGGCTGTATTAAAATGTATACAATTTCCTTGAGAAAAGGTCATTCATGTAATTGTGCAGATTTACTTGTTTATCAGATTAGCTACCTTTTGTGGGCCCGAGTGAAAGGAACAGAGACGGAATGTGTTCCTATGGCAGAAAAGCAAAGGTAGCTAGAAATATTTAGATAATGGGATGTTTGCCAGGGAGATATAGATAATGTAGTTAGTAGACATGGGGTTAAGAGAAACAAGGGATAACAGCAAACAACACTAAGAACTAGAAATGACATACCTTTTTCATTGCCTTTGAATTTGGTCTAGAAGAGCCTGTCCAACAACAGAAAGATAAAGTTTAATGATAATAATAATATACTTATAATATTCATATATGTAATACTAATAATGAACAATTAGATTAATATGAAGTGTTGTTTTGTAGCATCTTATTCTGACATTTTTAAAGTTTCCATTCACGCAGCTATGTTATCAGGACAGAAGAGACAATATGGAGACACAATCAGTTTACTATTTGTTCTACAAATAGACAGCAGGGGATACAGTAGGCCTGCCATGCCTTGAGCACATAGGCCTAGTTTCACTCTTTCATACCTAATGCTTAATATGTAATGCAGATTCTTACCTTCATGTTATTCTGCCTTATTGTATAAAACCCTCCCAATTTCTTTTGGTCAAGGTTGAGCTAGTTACACCATTCATTGTTCCATTCCTAATGCATTGACATTTTTCTATAGTAGGGAAGTTAATTGCCATGGTGACCATGGTATGTGCACAGTTCAGTGATATTAGATTTCTACTCTATTTTGCCAAATTCCAGGTGTGTTCTTTGCTCATCCTGCTTTTCAGGTGTCAGGAAAGCTGTCATTCTGAAGTATCCTCCTTTGTATTTTTTTCTCCACCACGTCCCTGTGACCAATATCAATCCCTGTTAATCTAATTATTTAATTCTAGTATGTGAACATTGGTACATTTTTCTCCAACACAGTGAGTTCCTCTTCTGAGAAATATTGTCATCTAAGCACTTTTAAAACAATTTCCTTTACTTCATCTTGTCAATAAGACTTTGGAGTTGTTACCATTTCCCTGTTTTTGAGATAAGAAAGGGCTAAAGAAAGTGAGTGATGCACCCAAGGACACAAGCTGAAAACAGTTGAAAACATTGTAATGTTTATGTGTTCTGGTTGCAAGTCTAGTGTTGTAAAAAATTATGCTATACTTTTCTCAGATCAAGTATATTTTGCCTGAAATAAGTATTGGTTCTATAATTTTGAATTTTCTATTACAATTGTAGTTTTATGGTAACATGAAAGCTTTTCCAATTTATTTTATTATGTAATTTGAGAATAAATGCTGTTAAAACTAAGCATAGAATAGCATTTAATTATTACTTATATACATAGGATCAGATGAAAACTAGATCTGTGTTCATTTCAAATTAAAGTTCTGCATGTGTTGTATTTTCTAGGCAGGTATTTAGTAAATTATTTAATATATTTAAACATCATTCCAAATGGCAATATTTGACCTTAAGTATAGTAGCTTTTTTCAATGAATATGTGCTTTATTTTCCTTATGATTATACATAAAGATATTAATTGTAGAACATTTGGAATGTACAGGATAAGTTGATTTCTGTGCTATTTGGTTCCAGGATCTCTTAATACCTTTTGCTGTTCTCAGTATGTATTAGGCACCCAGGGAGACTTCTTTCACAGTGAAGTCATGGGATGTAAGGCAAAGTCCACCCTTTTGCACAGCAAACACGTGTCTCATATGGACACTATATACCATACTTGTTTGATGTAGTAAACTTTTTTTTTTTAGAAAATAAATTTGAGTGTTATTTTACTGATAATAATTGTTATGCCCAGAATTCGTGATCCCCAAATACTGCCAGGGAGCCGAGTCCGATGTAAAAGCAAAAGAGCCTTTATTCGAGCTAGCTCGAGCTCAATCCCCTACCTGCACCAACGCAGGGGTGAGATACCGGGGAGAGAGAGCGAGTTTCAAAAGGACAAAGGTTTTATTGGGGCCTAGGGGCAGTTGGTGAGGTAATGGCTGTGGCCTCAGCCGATTGGCTGGGGAAGGGTCGGAGTCCTGTTAAGCAGGTGAGCGGGAAGTTACTCAAGGGGAGGAGGTGTGGTCAAGGTGAAGGACACAGAACAAGATGGAGTCGGCCAGTGTAGGCCCACCATTTTATTCCCCCCTTGTCATGTAGCTTATGGACCCAATCATGGGACCAGCTGCATTTATGGTGACAAGGGAAACAGAGTTTGGAGGTTTACGCAAAGTTCTGGGAACCAAGTGTCCCTGGGGTGGCTCTGGAAGGTCTGATTAAGTATTGTCCCCGAGCTGGTGTCTATGATCTGCCAGGTGATGTTTTGGGGGGCATGGGGACTCCCAGCAGCATGAGCAATGACAAGCAGAGTTAACAGAGTTACCAATATTACGTGGGTCGAATGCGCTGTAGCTTGAGCTTGAGCGGGTTGTGTTGGTCCCGATTGACGGCCCATCGTGTGACGAAGTCCTTCCGGATCAAGGAGGGGTCCACTGGCCAAACGTGGGTGTGATGGACCCAGGTCGCGATGCCGTCTACTTTGAGAGCGGTGGGGGTTGTCAGCACCACGATGTAGGGTCCCTTCCAGCGCGGCTCGAGGGTCTCTCATTGGTGCCTCTTGACGTAGACCCAGTCTCCCGGCCTGTACTGATGAGGTGTTGGGGTTGGGCCAGCCTCGTAGATGGCACAGAGGCGCAGCCAAATGTCCTCGTGTGCCCTCTGGAGCCCTCTCAAGGAAAGAAAAAGTTCTTGACCTTTAAACTCAGCAAGAAGTTCAGCTAGAAGGTTGGGAATAACAGGGGGTGGCCTGCCAAACATGATCTCATAGGGAGTAAAACCCAGAGTGTAAGGAGTGTTTCTAACCTGGTAAAGGGCGTATGGTAGGAGAATCACCCAGTCCCCGCCAGTCTCCATGGTTAATTTGGTAAGGGTCTCTTTTAGGGTTCTATTCATTCTTTCTACCTGTCCTGAGCTCTGGGGCCTATAAGCACGATGTAATTTCCAGTTTGCCCCCACTGCCTTGGCTACTGCCTGTGTTACCGGCGAGATAAAAGCTGGTCCATTGTCTGATCCTACCATGGCAGTAAAACCATACCTGGGTAAGATGTCTTCTAGTAGCTTCTTAGCCACCGTCTGAGCCATTTCATGCTTGGTTGGGTATGCCTCCACCCAGCCAGAGAAGGTGCCTGTAAACACTAAAAGATATTTATTTATTTATTTATTTTTTTCAACATTTATTTATTTTTGGGACAGAGAGAGACAGAGCATGAACGGGGGAGGGGCAGAGAGAGAGGGAGACACAGAATCGGAAACAGGCTCCAGGCTCTGAGCCATCAGCCCAGAGCCTGACGCGGGGCTCGAACTCACGGACTGCGAGATCGTGACCTGGCTGAAGTCGGACGCTCAACCGACTGCGCCACCCAGGCGCCCCAACACTAAAAGATATTTATAACCATACTTTCCTGGTTTGACTTCAGTGAAGTCGACCTCCCATTGGGCTCCTGGTTTGGTGCCTCTGAGCCTGGTTCCTTTTTTATTTGATGTAGCTCTCGCTTTGGTGAGTTGGCAGGTCTTGCAGGCAGATACAACTTGCTCTATTTTGGTGTCCTGTTGGTGAATCTTGATTCCGGCATGTCGATTAAGTCTTTTAATTTTTGGGCCCCCATGTGAGTAGACCGATGCATGTGCTCTAACATTGAGACTCTGAGCCTGTCTGGCAGCACGAGCTCCTTGTTAGGTGTATACCACCATACCTTTATCTCCTGGGCCATGGGGAGTTTCTTGATCCACTGTAACTCCTCCTGGGATTATTTGGGCTGGTCTGGTAAAACTGGGTCTCCTTGGTCCGGTAGTTGTATGGTCATGATGGGGACTGAAGTAAGGGCTACTGCCTTGCTGCCTGGTCAGCCTTTTGATTACCTCTAGCTACTGGGTTATTAGCTTTTTGGTGCCCTTGGCAGTAGATAATGGCTAGCTTGGCAGGAAGCCATAAGGCTGTAAGCAGGTTAAGTATCTCCTGCTTATTTTGTATAGTCCGTCCTTCTGCCGTCAGTAACCACCCCCTCTCCTGATAAATTGCCCCATGAATATGAGCTGTGGCAAATGCATAACGGCTGTCTGTGTAGATGTTAAGCCGTTTTCCAGCTCCCAGCATCAGCGCCTTGGTGAAGGCTATGAGCTCTGCCCGCTGGACTGACCTTCCGGAGGGTAGAGCCTCCGCCCATACAGTGTCCATTTCGGTGACCACCGTTGCACCCGCATACCTGTGTCCATCTCGCACAAAGCTGCTGCCATCAGTGAACCAAGTAGCCTTGGCATCGGGGAGGGGCCGGTTGGTCAGGTCGGTCTGGAATCCACGTACTTGTTCCAGGATTCCCACACAGTCATGTAGTGGAGCACCTAGGTCAGGGTTGGGCAGCAGGGTTGCAGGATTGAGGGCTGCACTGGGGTGGAACCGCACTTGTGTAGGGTTGAGTAGGAGGCTCTGGTAACAAGTCATACATGTGATGCTCATCCATCTATCAGGAGGCTGTTTCAGGACCCCTTCAATGTCGTGTGGGGTTGTGATCCAGATCTCCTGTCCTAGGGTCAGTTTGTCTGCATCCTTGACTAGGAGTGCTGTCGCCGCAATAATTCTTAGGCATGGTGGCCAGCCGGCAGCCGCTGGGTCTAGTTTCTTGGACAGGTAAGCCCCTGGGCGGTTCCAGGGGCCTAAACCTTGAGTTAGAACCCCTTTTGCTATTCTCTTATGTTCATCTACAAAGAGGTAGAAGGGCTTCGTAATGTCTGGTAGGCCCAGGGCTGGGGCACTTAGGAGGGCCTTTTTTAACTGATTAAAGGCAATTTCTTCTCTTTCAGCCCATTTAAATGTTTTCCCCTCTTTGGTAGCTTCATATACGGCCTGGCAATCTCAGCAAAACCTGGAACCCAGAGGCAGCAGTAGCTGGCTAATCCTAAGAATTCCTTTACTTCTCTTCGGGAGGGGGGAGTAGGGATCTTTAGGACAGTTTCTTTTGTGGCATCTGATAACCGCCGCTGTCCTCCCTCCAGGATATATCCCAGGTAACCCTCTCCCTGCATATCTGAGCCTTCTTCATGGATGCCCAGTACCCAAAAGCTCCCAGGGTAGCCAGCAGGTCCTGGGTCCCTCGTTCACAGTCTTTGGCCATGTCGGCAGCAATCAGGATGTCATCTACATACTGTAGGAGGGTGAGGCCAGGGTGCTCCCTTCTGTACTCACCCAGGTCCTTGTGTAGTGCTTCATCAAAGCTGGTGGGCGAATTTTTGAATCCCTGAGGTAGCCATGTCCAGGTGAGTTGCCCACTGTAGCCCTCCTCCGGATCATGCCACTCGAAGGCAAACAAGGGTTGGCTCTGGGGTGCCAGCAGCAGACTGAAGAAGGCGTCCTTTAAATCTAGTACAGTATACCAGACCCTGGAGGGCACCAAGGAGCTCAAGAGAGTATATGGGTTGGGAACAGTTGGGTGTATGTCCGTGACCCTCTTATTTACTTCCCGGAGGTCTTGTACCGGTCGGTAGTCATTTGTGTGAGGCTTTTTGACCAGCAGTAGGGGGGTGTTCCAGGGAGACTGGCAAGGAACTAGTACCCCTAGGCTTTGTAGTCTCTGGATGTGTGGCTAGATCCCCTTCCGGGCCTCCTGAGACATGGGGTATTGTTTGATTCTTACCGGACTCTCTCCTGGCTTGAGCTCTGCCAGGACTGGGGTCCTGTGAGTGGCTAGTCCTATCTCCCCCATCTCTGCCCAAACCGAGGGGAATTCTTGTAACCATCTATATTATCCTCTCTCTGGAGCGCCTCCTTGTGGAGGTGGTATTCATCCTCCAGTTTCATGGTCAGGACCTGGATGGGGTGGCCCATGCCATCGGTGACCTGAGGCCCCCCCTTGTCTGAAAGTTATCTGAGCTCCAATCTTGGTCAGTAAGTCCCGTCCTAACAGCGGGTAGGGGCATTCTGGTATTACCATAAAGAGGTGGGCTACCTGGCCCGTCCCCAAATCTACCGTTCTTTGGGTAGTCCATGAATACTGGCTAATACCAGTTGCCCCTTGTACCCAGGACTTCTTGCTGGCTAGTTTTCCTTGTGGGGTGTGGAGGACCGAATGTTGTGCTCTGGTGTCGACGAGGAAGTCAACAGGGGTCCCCTCCACTTTAAGAGTTACCCTGGGTTCGGGGAGAGGGTCCGAAACCCGACTCCTCTAATCACTTAGTTCATCTAGCTCTAGGTCTTTTACTTGATCAGTGTTGCTTCCCTTCCCACCGGCCCTTTTCAGATACTCTCAGGCCCAATGCCCTATCTCCTTGCAGTATGCGCACTGATCTTTCTGCAGCCTCTGTTTTCCCCCCTTAGTGGTTCCTTTACCTTTTCTTGCGTCGTCTGTCGTCTGCCAGCTGCCGGAGACGGCGGTCTCGATCCTCGGGGAAGTCAGCAGTGGTAGCTAGTAGTATTCTGGCCAGGTCTCGAGTCTGCTTACTGCTGGCATCCGCCATGGCGTGAGCCTGCTTGTCCTCAGGAGGCTCCCGGTTATTATATACCTTTTCAGCTACCACCAGTAAGTCCTGCAGACTTTTTTCTCCTAGTCTATCTATTTTCTGTAATTTTCTCCTAATGTCTATGGCTGATTGGTTTACAAAGGCCATGATAACAGCTGCCTTGCTTTCCGGAGCCTCTGGATCCATGGGGGTATAGGTACGGAATGCCTCCATGATCTGCTCTAAAAAGGCAGCCGGAGATTCATCTTTTCCCTGTTGTACATTTCCTACTTTGGCCAAATTGGTTGGCTTTCTAGCAGTCATTCGGAGACCCCCCCCATTAGAGTCTGGCGGTAGACCCGGAGCGTCTCTTTACCTTCTGCCGTGTTGAAATCCCACTGGGGCCGAGTTAAGGGGAAGGAGGCATCTATCCGAGCCTGGTTGGTGGTGGGATTCCCATCTGTGCCCAGAACTAGTTTTTGGGCCTCATTGAGGATTCTTTTTCTTTCTTCAGTCGTGAACAGGACCTGCAAAAGCTGCTGGCAATCATCCCACGTGGGCTGATGGGTACAAAGAACAGGGTCTAATAAATCAATAAGCCCTGCCGGTTTCTCGGAAAACTTAGGATTCTGAGCTTTCCAATTGTAGAGGTCACTAGGGGCGAAAGGCCAATAGTGATGGGGCTGATTCTCCTCCGCGTCTGGGGGTCCAGTGGCTCGCAGGGGCAGAATAGTG